TATTTGCGTACCACCTTTGTTTTAATTTATTAGAATCTAAATATACTTCTAAATGCATATTAGTTGTACCATTATAATATTCAGTTCATAACAAAGTTAGAGACAAAGGGATTCTTCAGTATAATTCAATTCATTAGTCTTGACTAAGTTTATATGAGAAATTAGGAGCTTTGCCTATTGAATCTGGTTAGTTTATAACAAAATGTTCAAATGCATCTCCGACATCTCTTTAATTTTGGGTTTTGTTTGGAATGGCTGGTGGTAAAAAGCTCTGTCTAGCTTTTAGCTTTTTTAGTGGTACAAAATGACTTCATGCAAAATGGTTAATTGGTTTGAGCTTTGATGCTTCCAGCTTTCCATTTTTTGCAGCAATTATTTTACTTTCTTCATCAATTTGTTACATGGCTGGTAAAGAAATGGTGAAGCTGTCGTGAAGCTATCATGGTATGAAAGTGCCATCTTATGTAGCATCATTAATTTAACATGAAGAAATCCCCAAAGAGTAACCCTTGAGATATGCATAAGCTTAGGCTTTAGCTTTCTGCTTATACAATTATTATCTCATGCAAAAGACAAATTAGTTAATTATACTTGTTCTTGAATGATTTTCACACTACCCTAACAGTTGATATACAAGATGGACTTTTAAAAAAAAATCTTAATTGTAAAATTTGGTATGTAATAAGGTTCCTTCTCCATTTTTTATAACAATTGCTCTGAAAGAATGCAAATTTGTGTAGACATGTAAGAAGTTAATAAGTCAAACTGGTTGGTAAAGAGCTCTCAGTTATAATTATTATTGATATAAAGCTATGGATGATGTATGCTGAAGTTGCTAAAAAGTTTATATGTTACTACAATCAAATAATACTTGCTGGTGATACTGCTCATTAATTCCCTTGTGCTTGTGGTTTTGGTTAGTAACTCTATTTTTCTAACCAGAAAACATTCTAATTATTTAGAATTTTCCTTATCTTCTAATCAATAGTTTGTAACTGAATTTTCCTGGATGCACATAGACCTAGGGCTATGGGATTTTACCATTTTACCTTGCCTCTGTTTGTTTCCTTCTCCTTTGTGGCTATCATGGAGACAACAAAATGCAAAATGTAAAATGCAATACCTAATTACATATGTTAAATGTGGCTAGAATTGAGAATTTGTTTATAAGTATAGATGCAAAATCATCCAGCAATATAAAGTATATGTATGTAGGATACTAGGATTCATTATTGACTTTACTGCTTTTTACATTGATTTTTTAGTGACTATGAATTGATAAGAGCATTTCTATATTGGTGAAGGAAGTTTGAACATGGTCTAAAAGATACTTAACAAGAATAGCACTTTGCATAGAAAGACAAATTGGATAATGACAAGAAATTCTTCTTTAAATTTTGAATTAGTATAAAGAGATATCTTAAAGAAAGTTTACTTGCAATTAATTCTATTCTACCTACTTTACTGTACTTTTATTTGAGCTTTGCTACAGGTCTCATAACTTTTGTTGTTAGTTTATTGTTGGGCTTCTTGGCCTCATTATGGGTGAACTTCATTACAATATACTTTTGAGGTATTGATTTAGTTTCCATTGGTTTTTTTGTAAATGTATTCTTGCAAAACACATTTGATAATGTGCTATATAACATGAGACAATTCTCATTCTTTCAAGTTAAATTTTGATTGCAGAGACCTCCTATGGCAGATTCCTTACATTGAGATTGTATCGTCAATGTTATATGTGAATCATATATGGCAGCGGATACTATGATTATAATAAGACATAACATTGTGAGTATTTTGTTATTTTTTATTGTATTCCCAAGCAGCTAAATATACTTATATTGCTAACATCATAAGAATTGACATAATTGGATTAAATTCCCTAAAACTCACTATTATATTTTTCTTTTAATTTATTATGCCTTTTCACTACTAATTTCTTTTTAATATTAAAATTTTATCTTATTTTTTTATTTTATTTCAAGGGCCCGGGCATCGCCCGGGGTATTAACTAGTTTACTAAATGCCAACTCCCTTGGGCAGAGCTGCAGTTCTAAGTGGGGTACTCATAAAATAGAGCTATTTTTTATCTCCTTAAATCGTTGACAACCTGAAATGCATATTACAGCCATCACCATGCCAGCTTTTCTCCCTTCAAATCCTTTACCTAACCTACAAGATTACTTTCCAATTATTTTTTAATTTCCCATTATCATGAAAAAAGAAGAGGAAAATGGAGAGCTCATCTGGAACAGAAGAAAAAGTCACACTCCACATTTTCCACATAAAATCATCTTAAAATAATTAACCTTATAATAACAAAGTCAGGCATCACCAAAATTAAGATTTCAAGCATAATCCATGTTTTTTTGGCCTTAAAGCACAATCCACGTTGGAATCCCTACGATAAACATGAGTAACATCAGGCAGAGTGATAAAGCCAAGGATGAATTGCCAGTTCCGATTTGTCACCGGACAACTGAAGCATAGTACTGAGTTCCATTGCACGTAATCTTCTCACTGCTTTGCATGTTTGCAACAGCAAGAGGAGAGATGCCTAATGACATCTGTGCTGGCTGCTGGAAAATGACATCATTGTTAGAGGTTCTTGTGGTGTCTGAGCAGGCTTATATTTGCATGCCAATGAAAGCTTTTTCTCATGGTGAAATGATCGGAAAAGCAGACAGCAAGTCATAAAGAGCTCTTGGTACAGCTGCATCATCAAAATCGGGTACAAGGCTTGAGCTCCTAATGTAAGTTAAATGATATATGAAATGCTTAAATTGCCAGCAGTTACCTTCCCTCGAAATCTGTAAGAAATATTGGATGGGGCATCAATAAGCGAAGTAGATGGGCATGAGCATCAAACATTTAGTGAATATTTTGTTAGGAAAAAAGAATATTACTGTTTTCATTTTGAGACTGGGATGATTAGTTTTCCTTGTTCTTGGGCGCGTGTTGTTCTAGGAAGTGCAGGATTGTATTCCAGTAATGATCCCCACCAGCTCGCCAGGTGTTCATGTGCCTGCCGTTAGGGAATTCTACAAAGTCACACTGCCTGTTACGTACAGCTGCTTTTGCATACAGCATTTGCATGTGTGATGGGGGAACCATCTCGTCTTGTAATCCAGACAGAAAAAGAATTGGCTGCTCAATCTGCAGTTAATAAAACCACAAGGAGTAATCAGGAATGAGACATCAAATTCTAAAGTTAGT